ACCCCTGGGTCGAAGTCTGTTTCCTGATGGACTCCTGACTGATAAAGAGATTTTCGGACAAACAGAAACACTTCCGTATTAAATAGTCATTGAGTAGAAGGTGCACCGGCTTACAGAAATGTTAAAACATCATCAAAATGTATGGCTTACTATAGAGAAATGATGCAGACTCGTTCAGATGTGGTGGATAGAGGACTGCTAATCATTACGAGTTTGCTTCTAACCTGGCAAGGCTGGGAGCATGGGTAACTGGCAGAGCACTGGGTGAAATGGGTCTGAGTGCGGGCTTTGCTGCCCACAGGCTGGGGAATCTTGAGTGGGCTGCCTTGCCACTCTGTTCCTTGGCCTCCTCTTTGGCAATCCAGAGTCATCCCAAGTGCCGTCACATCCTGGCCAGGGTGTTGTGAGGACGAGACCAGATAGGTGAAAGGGCTTCATGGACTGTCCAGCTGTCAGATATGTGGGTCAGTGTAGTCCAGAGGAGGCAGCCAAACATTGGGCAGGAGGGACAAAGGAGAAAACCGGCAAATGCAGAGACAACAATGAGAACACAGCCCTGGCCGGTTTGGCTCAGCATTAGAGCGTGGGCCCTGTGGACCAAAGGGTCCATGGGTTTCATTCCCTGTCAAGGTCACTTACCTTGACAGGTTCGATCCTGGGGCCCTAGTTGGGGTTGTTTGGGAGGCAACCAGTCAATGTGTCTTTCTCACATGGATGTTGTTCTCTCTCTCTTTCCCTCTCACTCCCTCCTTCCCTCTCTCCTTCCCTCCCACTCTCTAAAAAATCAATGGAAAAATATCCTCAGGTGAGGTTTAACCAAAACAAACAAACAAAAATGAGAACACAGCCCAAACTACACTTTTCTCCCTACCCCTTCCCTCACTTGATGTGACCTTTCCATAGGTTGAATGACGGTGCCAGGGTGTTTATTCAGCAGAGAATTAAGGAGCACCTCTAAGTATATGGCACAGCCTTGTACCAGATGAAGTCCATGCTTTCTGGAGACCAGTAAGAGAAACAAAGACATTCCTGTAGGAGGCGGGTCATGCAGTGTTCTGGGTAAAAGGAAGAGTCTGGTGTCACAGAAGCCTAGCTGCACTTCCAACTGGTCACTAGCCCACTAACCAATTCTCCTGGACAATTACCGTAATCTCACTTTCTTGATCTCCCACCAGGGTACAATACCCACCTCAAAGGTTTGTTGGGAGGACAGCATGAGACAATCCCTGTAAATTGCTAAGCCTGGTGCCTGCCTCTTGGTAGGCGCTCAATAAAGGCTGGTCTCTGTTTCTCTTAGTATGTTATTCCAGGGAGCTAGAGGACCCTTTCTAACTGGGTGATCCTGGAATGATTCCCCACGGATGGAGCAGTGACCTGGGCTCTGGGCTTGGAGGCTGAACTTGCGGTTTGGCAGACACAGTTCAGCCAAGGCACTGGCTGGACAGGCAGGTCAGTCCTCGCAACACTGGGGAGCAGCTCTGTGTCTGGCGCTCTTCGGACTGAAAGGTGAAGGCAGGCAGCGGAAGGCGGCACAAGTTCTGGAGCAGGGGAAGGCCAGGATCAAAGCTCTCCCAGGCAGAGGCAGGCCGGGGCGCAACAAGGCTAGCGACTTGCATCAGCACAGATTCCGTGATGCTCTACAGACATCTCGGGGCTGCTGGGCTTTACGGGAACCCACAAGAAAGGAAAAGGCCGGGGACCCGGCAGGGCGGGGGCGGGCGAGGGCGCGACGGTGCGCTCTCCCGCCCGCGCGCTCCCGGCGGCGCCTGCCCAGGCTTGGGCGCGCCCAAGACGGCGGAGGCCGCTCCCGCTCCCCTTTCCCCTCCTTTCCCCCGAGTTACTGGAAGGACCGTGTGGGAGAGACCCAGAAGCACCCGGATTTTCGAGCGAGGGGTCAGGGAGGGTCTGCTGCTCAAAAGAAAACCAAAAGTGCATCTTGTTCTCCCCTCTTCTACAGGCAGCAGCTCTATGGAGAGCCCTGGACACCGGGGTCGCGCCTCCCTTTGCGGACCCCCTCCCTCAAGACGTTGTTAAGGCAGCCCGAGTCCCGTGAGGCGCAGGAAAGGACCGAAAGGCGAATGAGAATGTGTCTCGATTTATTCTGCTCTCTCTCACATGGTCCCCACCCCCAGTTTTCTGGGTTTTGCCGCTGCCGCTGGGGAAAGGGCTGATTGGTTTTGCGTCAAAGGACTGCATTTACTAAGTCCTGCTTCGAGAGGCACGTAAACACCCTGGCAGGCAGGACTCAGGGATTTAAAACACACACCCTTAACCCCCCGCGGCCAACGTGAGGACCCGCCTGCAACACACCCCTGGACCGGGCCACAGAGTTGGGTACTCCGCCCAGCAGGCTGCGGCGGAGGTTCGAGGAGTCTGGCTAGCCTCCCCTCGCCTGGCCACGCACGTCCTTGGGGATGGAGCTTAGGACAGAATGTGTTTTATAACTGTAAACAATGACCCCGAGTATTGTTTGGGATTACCGTATCTTGGGGCCATTGGGGCGGCCAGATGCCGCCAGCCGTCCCGGAAACGCCAGCGCTTTATATAGAGCCCCGGGAAAGCTTTGAGTTCCCGGCTCTATTTTCTTTCCTAGCAACACCCCCACTTTACAGATAAGGAAACTGTGATGTGTTAGAATGCACAACGCATCACAGTCTTCACGCATCTTCCCGTTGGGTTCTCATAAGGATCCTTTGGAGGTATAAATGGCGCCACTTATGAGTTGGGTAAACTGAGGCTAAGGCAGAATGTGGACCAGAATTCAAGTTGTTTGACTTAGTACAGTGCTCCACCGCATCACCTCTGCAGAAAGATTTAAGTTCTGGAGCTAACAAGGGCCTTAGAAGGTTACCTGTCCCAACCCCTTCATTTTATATAGGAAGAAACTGAGGCCCAGAGAGATTAAGGGACTCACCTAAAGTCTCACAGCTCGCAAATAGCATGACCTGGCATTGGTACTTTAAGGCCTGTGCTCTTTACCCGGTAGCTCGCCCCGCCCCAGTTCAGTGAGGCTGGAACACCTAGGAGTCCTGTACTACTTGCTCCTTGAACTTCGCTCCAAAACAGCTAAAGACACTGTTGGGCCACACCCTCTCCCGGGCTTCCCTCCTTCCCTGTTTTTTTGTTTTGTTTTGTTTTTAAATTCCCAACAGTCTGGAGTTTGCTTTTAATGCCCGATTGCTCCTACTGGATGCCTTCTAATTGCCCCGCATGGAGGGCGGCCGGAACGTCTTGATTTGGTTTATTTCGTCTTCAGGGCTACTAAGAAATTAATTGTACGGCTGGAAAAAAAAGGGAGGGGGAGCGCCAGAGGGAAGAGAAGAAAGAGGGAGATTGGGGGCGGGGGGGAGCGGAAGGGAAGCAGTGGACAACCAGTCACAGAGGGAAAAATTAGCAGGCCAGCCCCGCCCGGCGGCGCCGCGCCGCGCCTCGCCAGGGGCCGGCCGCAGGGCGGCGCGGTACCCTGCGTGCCCAAGGCGCCCGCTGCACCCGGCGGCGCCGCAGAGGGCGCCGACGACCACGCGCGGCCGCGCCCTCCCTGCGAGCGGCTGTGCGCGCCCGGCTCTCCGCCTGGCGGCGGCGCCGCACTGAACCTCCCGTCTCGCTCTCAGGATTGTGATTATTCTCTAGGCGCCGAGACCCGTGGGGCAGCTCTCGGGGGCCACGCCCCGCGCCCCTTCCCAGGGCGGGGCGGGGTGGGGGGGCTTGCGGCGCGCTCCGGAGCCAGCGAGGGAATCCCTCTCCCTCCACGTCACCCGAAAGCAAGGAAACCCGCACTCGCGTCCTCTAACGCAAATGACCATCTTTGGCAAAGTGCGCCAATGGAACAGACCAAGGGCGCTGGGCCCGGGGGGTGGGCGGGGGCTGGTCAGGGCCGAAGCTGCCTCGGCTCCCCCAGGCCGCGCGAGCGGCCTCTTCCACCCCCGCCACCACCTTCCTTCCTCGCGCGGGGTGTGCTGCTGGCGTCAGCGTGGCCCGGAGCACTGGCAGGGTGGGGAGCGCTGCGCCCGCCCCCTCCCGTGCCTCTTCCTCCTCCTCCTCTCCTCCTACTCTTCCTCCTTGTCCTGGGCCTCCTTCTCCCGCCTCCCCGCGCGCTCCTCCCTGCAAGGTGGAGTCTGGGGTTGACGTGAGTGAATCCACATGGTACAGGGGCTGGAGAATAAAGAGTGTGGAGTTGAACTCGTGCCACTGTAGTGACTCATCTCGGGCAGAGCGCAGGGGCTCAGAGCGAAGCAGCGAGGCAGCGAGCAAGCGAGCCGCGCTCGGCGGGGACAGAGAGCGCGCGAGCGAGCGAGGGAGACGCGGACGGGCGAGGCGGGCGGCGCAGGAACGGGCGCCCGGGACGGGGTGCGGGTCCGGCTCCCGAGCCGCGGCACAGGGAGCGGGGCCGCGTCCCTCTCAGCTTGAGCCCCACGGGTTGCTGGACGGGCGCAGGCTGCCTTCTAGTCAAGTGTCCGAGCCGCTCCGAAACTCCGGCGGTGCGTCGGCCACAGGAAGTTTATTTTCAGCTTGTCTTCTAAAAGGAGGAAATAGAAGTTTCTCCAAGCCGGCAGCCTTTCTTTTCGCTTTTTTTTTTTTTTTTTGCCCTGCCCGAAATCGGGGGTCCGCAGACCCGGCAGGTGTGACTTGCCCGGCTCCCATTCTTTCTTAATTTCTAATTTGGGATTGAGCCGGCGGTCCCGGCTGGGCTCTGGCAGTGCGCGGGGGCGGGAGGGCGCGCAGGGGAGGGACCCAGGACGCGCCGACTTTTTAGAGGGAGGGACTGGGTGGACAACTGGTCCCGCGGCGCTCGTAGAGCAGGAAAGAAGTGCAGCGCTCGGCGCTCAGGGGCCACTGTTCCCGGGTGTCGCCGCCTCCCGGTTCGTGCCCGCCGCCGTAGGGGAGAAGCCCGGGAGCAGAGAAGAGAGCCCAGGCGCGGCCCGCAGGGAGCGAGCGCGCAGCAGCCGGTGCGCGGCCGCGGCGAGGGCGGGGAAAGAAAAACACCCTGTTTCCTCTCGGGCCCCCACCGCGGATCATGTACCAGGATTATCCCGGGAACTTTGACACCTCGTCCCGGGGCAGCAGCGGCTCTCCTGCGCACGCCGAGTCCTACTCCAGCGGCGGCGGTGGCCAGCAGGTAGGTGCGGGCCCCGGGTGCACCTGGCGGTGCTGGCGGACCCCCTATCCTCCGCTCGCCGCTACTGCCTCTTTTGCTTTCTTTTCCATTTCTTGGCTTGGCACGAAAATTCCTCTGGGCCACCACTGTAAGTGCTGGGTTTTCGTCTTGTCCTGCCCATCCCCTTCTCTGTTTAAACACTGGAGCGAGGAGTGGACTTGAAAGCCAACAAACCCTTTCCTTCACATTACATCTCATCCAGACGAGCTCCTTGAGCACTAAGCCTGTTATCTCCTCTCCCAGGAATGCTCTGTCCCCTTTCCCTCTCCTTGGACCAAAAAAAAAAAAGGGGGGGGGGTGTCTTTGCACCCTCCTCTATTCTCGAGGGAAAACCTTCTCTTTCTCCACCAGTCTTAGTTAATTTCTGAAAGCCGTTGGGGACTCAAAACATAGTTAGGCTCCTTCAAGTAATTCGGAGTGAGGGTAAGAATTGCTGCTCTGGGAATCAGGTGGGAAGGTCTGAAAGGAGGTGGTCAGCCTTGATTGGCTCCTGGTGGCCCCTGTGTGCCCTGCGCCCATCCATTTCCTGTGAGGGTCAGAGCAGGAGCCCGCACTGCCATCAGAAGGGGTGCTTTGAAGGTTTGGAGGTACCTGGCACAAGGACGCCTACAGAGAGAAGTGGGGGAAAGAGACTTCGTTTAGGCTCCTGGGTGGTTCTGGATGCAGAAAAACAACTTGCTTCTAAAGCAGCCAGACTGGTTTGCACTAGAGGGGTTGTGCCTGTGATATATGTGTCTATAAATACCAGAAAGGTGCTGGTGGGGTGCCTGCAGCAGCCCCCCACCACTGCCCCCAGACTTATGAGGGAGCTAGCTTAAAAGGTCACCACAACCTGAAGCCCGCTGGTTAGGACCTGGGGACTCTCCAGACAAGTTGGCTGCTGGAAGAGTTGCTCTGGTAAGGTGGTTGCCTTGGCCTCGACAAGCCAGCCAGCCGGCCAGCCAGCCAGGAGGGGCTGGGGTGGGCTTCCAGGGAGGGTGGACCCTGCTGGAGAATAAAATGGAAACACGGTTCCAAAGTGATTCCCCATACTTCGTGAGTCCCCAAAATGGCTTTTCTGTGTCTTCCCTTATCTCCCCAGGTGTCCTCATAAGCATCTACTGTAGAGAGCCCAGTCTATGCATGGAGGGTGCAGTCAGTGCACCCTTAATGATGAGCACTAAGGTGATGAGTTTAAAATCTTATCGTAAAAGTGTTTGGTATTGTTTGCGTTCCAGCCCTGCCAATGGTTTGTATTGAATCCAAACATCATTAGGCAAGGGGTTGGAGTCAATTATATCCCTCACTCTCCAATTCAACAAATCCCCAAATGTCCCTCTCCTTCTCGAATCAGGAAGGGATCTTTTGATTTCTTGTCTGTTCTTTGGTTGCTGTTTCTGTGGCAGTCATCATTGAAATATGACAATTTTGCCGCTGCCTGGCTTTGCTCACACCCTGGGGCCTGGATGGGAAGTCAGACCGGACATCAGTGCCCCGATTGAATAATCTGTGTCACTAGGGCTTTGAGCCCAGGATGTAAGCAGAGGCAATTCCCTGTTTTGGAAGAAAATCAGACAGGAAACCAGTGCTAGGAAGAAGGAAGAGAACTCAGTCCAGCAGAGTGTAATGGGGCCTCATTACCGAAGCAAAAAGCAGCTGTTGGCTAATTCCTAGCATGCTGTAACACATGAGGATTTTGCAATTAGTAATAACTAGCGCATGGGGTTCTTGAACATACGCCTGCCCCTTGGCCCAGCAGCTTGAGTGAGGTGCCTTTCAAACCTGAGGGATTGGCAAGGTAATGCCACTTTAGACAAGTTTCTCAGCCTGTCCACTCCTGGGGGGAGAGGGGGAGGGTTTTTCCATCATCATTTCTCTGCAGTTGAGCAAAGCTGTTCTGGGGTCCTAAGGACTGACTTTGAGAAGCTTTTGTTACTTAACAAGTCTGTGCTATAATCCCACCCAATCTCAAAGTAACTTTATTCCATACTAGATAAAACCTATGATGGCTTTAATTCTCTCAGCCTCCCCTACGGGGCAGGCTGCTGGCAGTTAGAGGTGGGTCATTCTCCTCTGTGGCGCCTCAGTGGACCAGTCACTGAACCGTGCACTGGTTTTCACTTGGGCAAGTGCATATTATTTTTTCCTGATCTCTTTGTTTGTGGGGTCTAATATTCCTGATGTTTGTTGCTGTTTACTCAACCCGGAACTTTCCTCTCCTCTCAAGCTTCCTAAAGCTTGATCTTAACACGGTCATGAGTTCCAATGACTGGGGGTTGGGGGTGAGGGCAGAGATAATTTTTTGTTAAAACCTCTGTTCTTGTATATGGCAGGAACTTGAAGCATGAGAAATATTTCCTGTTCCAGTTATAGTTTTAATCTCGGAGGTTGGTCATTGGTGATTTTGTTTTGTCAGTAATCGGTGCACACACCTCCCCCTCCTGGCTTTTTCTTTGTGTTGTTGTTTTCTCTCTCTCCTGACTTTCCTAGGAAAACACCTCCCAGATATATGCCCTGCCTGGCTGCTCCACTATTACGGTTTCAGGGCCCGAGCATTACGCAATCCAGCCAGTTACACAAACATAGGTCATTTCATAACTTGTTTTCATCAGCTGGGCCCCCTTTTAATGAAAAAAAAAAAAAAACAACAACAACAACAAAAACAAGACCCAGAACTTTTCCAGGGCTGCCATTTGTCTGTTCCTTAGATAACTTGTGAAAATAAATCGAGGGAGACAGTTCTTTTTTGGAATCAAGGAATACCAGACTACCTCTTGTCCTCAGCAACCACCCTTTCCCAAGAGACAGACAGACAGACAGACTCACAAAATTTCCCGGAGTGAACTTTTGCCAACTGTACCAGGCTGGGACATTCCTCACATCAAAGAACTTTTACCAGAAATGACTGTGATTCCCAAGTCAGTCCTAATCGCACCTCTCTAGTGCCCCCTACAGGACATTCTTAGAAGAACCATCTGGGGAATGTATTTTTCCAGCTCCAGAGAGTTAACTTGGTGAGTTTTTGGAATTCTTAGGATGTTTTCTTTTTAGTTCACGACAAATAAATGGCATACATGTAACAGCAGTTAGCTAAAAAGTGCTTGACTTTGAGATGCATTTAAAATATTTTTTTCTTTTGTTCTAAATAAAACCTGGTTGAAAAGGAGTGCTTTTGTTTCTTTCCCTATTTAGGGTGCTGGCAGGATGTCTTCAGATTCCCAAGGCTTGTTTCCCTGATGTGTTTGTGTTAGCAGACGGGATTGCTTTGGTGGGGGCTGGTCTTCAGAATTGCCGGGCAGGTGGGAGGTCGATATTAAGGGTCTGGTGCCTTCTTTGTGTGCCTTGATCTCACAGACGTTGTAGATTAGGATCAAACACAACGTTATCCCAGGAATTTGTCTGTTCCGCTGATTCTTAAAGGTGGAAGTCCCCGTCACTTTTTCATCAAAGTGAGTGGGGTGAAACAGCAGTCATGTATTGTCTGAGTGGCAGTCGGATTTTTCTTTCCACCCCCCTGCGTGCATTTCCATTCCTTTATTTCTGCCCGCCTTAGTGTTCAAGGTGAGTGTCAAGTTGGGAGCCTCGTCTGTTTTCCTTTTCTATCTTAATACAAACACACCAGAACTATACATCCAAATCACTATTGTCCCTTCATAATTGCTCCTTGGGGAGACTAAATACTGATTTGAATGCTGGGGCTGTTAGTCAGACTCTGAAAGGTTTTTACAACACCCCTCTTTTGGAATTGCCTTCAGCGAATTCTTCTGAAAATCCTTCCTGCTAACAAATCTTTGTCCTCTGAGGGTAAGTTTTGATTTGGAAATTATCAAGAGGTTTGACATACAAGGAACCACGTCTGACAGAGAAGTCTGGGTGGTCCGGTTGGACCTAAAGCAGAGCGTGCCCCCAAGTCCTGTTGGTCTGGGTGTCAGGAGTCCACCTGGGAGAGCAGTCACCAGGACAGGGCACACCAAAGCAAGCACTTTTGCCATCTATACCTTAGGGTCTTTCCCCCTCTCTGTTAAACAGGAGTAAAAATACTGGTTTTGAGAATCCAGGAAGCTAACTCTCTGGTCTGTTTGTTGAAAGAAAGAAAGACTACTTTGTGGCTCTGTCCCATCCATGTGTATATAGTATCTTTTGGTGGCCAAACCCTTTCAAAATGATGGCAGCTGGCCTAATGGAGGCAAATATATCTGTTCAAACCCCACTTTGGAACTCTGTCCCTCTTCACCTCACCGATCTGCAGGGGAGATACACGCGTTCTCTTGCCCAGCACGGTCTCACCCTGTCACGTGGCGGAGGCTTGGCCACGCTCACCCTGCTGTGGTTGTAGGGAGACGATATGTCTGAGGGTGGTGGGGTCGCAAGGGGTCCACAGAATAGTGGAGAGCATGACCTATATTTTGGAGTAGGGTTTCTGGCCGAAGTGGCCCTGGAGGAAGGAAATGGGAACCTGCGGGAATAACTCAGCCGCTTGCTTCTGTTCCTTGCTTTGTCTTTCCCCCGGATTTTCTCATCCTGGCAGACAGGTAACCAGGGGTAGCCTGGTTCTTTCAACTGAACCCGGGAAGAAGCAGCAGCTGAGCTGAGGCAGGTCACCCGCAATGGTGTTTTTATGCTGTATAGTGTGGGGAAACCATGAGTTATTAGCAACCATTTCCATTGTGACACAGTGGCGTTGCTCAGATAGGAACGAAAGGTCAAAGTGATGTTCAGTGCTGATCTGTGAGGATCGGCCGAATCCCGGGTAGCACTTTGGAGGACATCCCGAGTTCACTGAAAATACAGAACATGTGAGTCAAACTGGGCCTCACTGGGGGGCTTCAGGGGTGTATGTGGGAACATTTGCACTCACCCTCTCCTCTTTCCCTGAGCCAGACTCTGGGGATGCTGGAATTTTCCTTTTCCTGTGCTGGGAATCTAAAAAAAAAGTGGGGTTCTTAGGAGAAAGAACCCAGTCCCTTCCCAGACATGCATAGTCGTACCTGCCTGTGGAGTTCATGGCTGGAGTGCTTGGTGGCTCAGTCCAAATCCATCTGATGGAGAAGCGTCTGGCCAAGGGACGGGCCAGGAGCACCAGCCTCAGCTTCCATCTCAATGCCATTTCTGCCCAGCTCAGAGGTCGCTGGGACGAGCCCTGCCCCATCCATGTCTGCAGGAAATGGGAGTCCAAACCAGTTCTGAGCTCCTTCTGTAGAGGCTGCGGTTTAACCCTCATTTCTGCATCCAAGGCTGTTGTAAAGTTCAGAAAGATCATTTTCCCAAATCGGCAACTGCTGGGCTGCAGAGACCTCTGATCTCATGAAACTGAGTGGCCTTCAGGGCCCTGTGTTCTGAGCTGTCTCTCACAAGCAGGGGGAGGAGGGTGTGTCCTTAGTGAGCAGCCCAGCGCCCTTCAGTGCAGGGTGCTGCAGAGTAGAGGAGGTTCTGATCTCAAAGACCCACAATAAGGCCTTACTGTAAGGGTTCAGATATCAGCTTCAGGGTCTGGAGATTGGAGCCGATGCATGAGGCCCATCTGCCCCTGACGCCCTAGGGTAGAGGAATGCATCAGGTCTGACCTTTTGCTTTCTTGTTTCCTCTCTTTGTTCTTTTCTCCAACCCTGAGCATAGGAGATGAAAATGACCCTCCAGAATAGGAGGCACCAAACTATGGCCCGAGTATTTTTATAAATAAGGTTAATGCAGCCCAGGCCCTCCTGCTTGTTTACACATTGTCTGTGGCCGCTTTCACGCTACGATGGCAGGCTTGAGTAGTTGCGACAGCGACGGTACGGCCCACAAAGCTAAAATATTTACTATCTGGCCTTTTACAGCAAAAGCTTGCCAAACTCTCCTCTGAGAGGTCAGCGGGGGCCAGTTTGCCCTTTTATGGGAATTCTTGCCCACCCAGAAATCATCAGGGTGGCACAGTTAAATACAGCATTTGGAGGCTTTGCCTGTTTGGACTGCCACACGGCCATCCAGTATCTTTGCTCCTGTCCCAGGAAGTGGAGCTTTCACGGGGGCTGGAGAACCCCAGAGGAGCCAAGTAAGGTCCTGGGTTACCTCCTCTGTCCCTCCATGCTCAGCACACGCCTGGTGCTGCAGCAGGGATCGACCCAGCCTGTTACCCGCCACCAGGAAACCTTATCTTAGTCTCTGCTCAGTGCGGACCTGTGCTTAGAGAACCACATTTATCCCTAGCATGGCATTTGACCGATTCTTGGGTCTGCTGGCATAGAGCAGGGGTGGGGGAAGTCCGACCCATGGGCTGTATCAGGTCTGCAGAATCCTTACCAGCTCACATCACACGCCTCACCAAATTAGCCTGATGAAATAAATACAGCAGGTTCATTTTTAAGTTGATAATTTTGTGTGGCCGGGGAATGATGTGATAAATATTCAAATGGCCCTTGGCAGAATAAAGGTTCCCCACCCCCGGCACAGAGGAAGGCCAGGCCAGTTTCTGCAACCACAAACTCCTAGCCCCGCCTCCTCGCCCCGCCTCCTCTCCCCGACCCCAGTGTTGCTCCTGGAATAATACCTTCAGAGGTGAGACAAGACCCATCTGCCAGGTCTCACTTAAACTTGTGTGTGTCTCAGAAAGACTCCCCTTGGAAACAAAGCCTCCTTTATCAGAGCCCCAGTCCCCTCTGGGGATGGGACATTGTTTTCCTCGCCATTTAGAGCCCGAGTATTATGCAGATGGCTTCACCTCCCTCTCAAACAAGATGTACACGCATTTAGAGGCAGTCATTACCTACTGTCTTGCTTTTATTGCTGTCTTGTTTTGTCTAGACCAAGCCTTTGCTGCAAGGAATCTGGCTGGGGGCCGGGGAGCACATTCTGTGGCCTGCTCGGAGAGCAGGCTGGAGGGCCCTGTGAGGGGCTGAGAGTCAGCCACTGACTTAGTGTCCAAAGCTTCGCTTCAGACTTTCTGCTGGCTTCCCCTAGGCTGAAAGGGGAGCTCTTTTGTTGGTTGGCACGAGGAGTGAATTTCTTGGGTGCTTTCTGGGAAGGAAAGCTGACAGTTCCCCTTAGAGGTGTGGGGGGGTCACATTAAACCTTGTGCTATATGCCTCAGGTGTCCTTCAGACCCTGAGCCTGGCTTGGGAGAGAGCTTCCAGGAATGGGAGCTGGTTCTCCCGGAGCCCCCTCCCCCAGTCCCCGCGCAGAGCACAGGCCGTGGTCATGCTCAGTGATGTGATGGTGGCAGTGGGGTGATGATGCCTCCCCATTTGCAGCAGCATCTCCCCTGGCTGTATGTTAGCATCTCCTCGGGTGTTTTTTTTGTTTTGTTTTGTTTTTTTAATACCATATCAGAACCCCATCCCAAGCCAGTTATTTGAGAACTAATGGTGAGGCTGGCTCCAGCCTTGTTGTTTTGAAAAAGCTCCTCAGACTATTCTAATGTGCAGCCAGGGTTGAGAGCCACTGGTGTGTTTTTAATAGCCTGTGATTATAAGTAGCTACTAATTTAACTCAGAACAGTGTAGTGAGTTTGGTGTTAGTATTCCCATTCACAGGCAGGGAAACCGAGTCCACAGTGCTTTGCCAAGGCCTCAAATCCAGGCCTCCTGACTCCAAGTGCAGTGCTGACTCCCTGCCAGCCCCCCCTCTCCCCTAGCCCCAGAGAAACCGCTGTCTGGGCCTTAGTACTTCTGCACAGGCTCTCAGGACTCTGCCTCGCCAAAGCCTAGCCTGCCTGGTTGTATGTTTTCTTTTTGAAGATCATTTCCCAGTGGAAGCCTTCCTTGTTCACTGCACCCTTCCCTCCTTCTCTCCTTCCCTCCTTCTCTCTCTCTCTCTCTCTCTCTCACACACACACACACACACACCCATCCACCCATATACACCTTCTTCTGTGCAGTCAGCTCCTGATAAAAAAGCCCAGTGCTCTGTGCCTTCTGAGGCGACACAAAATCCCTTGCACCGTGCAGCTCTCCTCACGGGACCCAGAATCCATTGCACTGGCAGCGCCACAGACGCAGAAGGCATTAGGCGGGTAGCACTCCTCGTGGAATCTCAGAGTCCATGGTGCTAGACCATTCTCTTCGTTGAATGCTTCTGGCCTGGGGTCCCGAGGCCATCTGGGCGGTGAGGCAGCCATTCCGCCCCCTAGACTCGGGTCAGGCATCTGGAAGGGGTTCTCAGCTCCCTTCCCTCCAGCCCTAGACGTCATCACCAGGGTCAGAGAGGGGTGGTGCAGCTGCCATTGCTGCTGACACTCTGACCCCAGTTTGTATGGTTGGGCCAGAACGTGCAGGGTCTTAGCACCCAGGCTAATGAAAGCGGGATTTCATGTGGGTCGGGCAGACCTGTGGGCCTCCTGGGTAGGAGGGAAGGTCTGTGGGGACCCTTGGCAAGGATGACTGGATGCTCCATCCTAGGACAGCGGGGTGGGGGGTGGGGGGAGATACCAGCACTTGGGGCTGGATTTTGAGGAAAAAAGACATAGTGCTGCAGAAGCGTGTGCAGCACCCTGTGTGAGAGCTTTGGCCTCCTTGTCAGGCTGACCTGGTTTTGAATCCTGACCCCACTGTTTGTAAGCGGTGTAGCCGGGATAAGTTAATCTCTTTTACGCCTCAGTGTCTGCCTCTAAAATGGTGATAATGGTAGTTCTTGCCTGAGAGGGAGAATGAATGAGTAATCTTGGTAAAACACCACCATGATGCCTGTCATTTACTAAATGCTCAGTATGTGTTAGTTATTATGTCATCACTGCCCACCACGTTAGGGAAGAAAGGATTTGCAGAACCTTTTTATGGAAACAGGAATCTTCTGAGGATGAGGGTTCCATTAGGGGAGCTTTTCCCTCAAAGCTGGGGTGGGGGCTTCCTCTCTCCCTCCATCCCTCACTTTCTAATAGCTGCCCCGAAGAAAGGTCCAACCCACCCGCTGAGGGGCATGGACCAGTTTAGCTTTCGTACTCTGTCATCATCTTATATTTTAAATAGAATGCTTCCTGCAGCATGGTCTGGGCATAAATATATATAGAGAGAGAACTATGAGCTAGCAGCTCCCGAGTTTCCCACAGGCGCATCTGTGAACACAGGTAGGTAGGTAGGTGGGTGGGTGGAGACGCAGCATGTCTGTCCCCAGCAAGATGGGGTAAAGGACAAGGAGGAGGTCAAGGACAGCAAGGGGAAGTCTGGCAGCAAATGCTACTACTTTTCAGTCTCACGGACAGGACATGTTCTCATGGAGCTGAGCTCACCCTGATGGGGTCACACCCCTTTCTGGTCCTATTTGGAAAGTAACAAAAGCAGGCACACGAGCTTCCTGGTGATCTTTGTTGCTCCAGAGCTGGTGGTGTGCACATTTCCTCGAGGGGTCCTGAGTCAGTACCCTGGGGAATGATTGGCAGGTGACACAGAGGCTCGGGTGAGAGGCCTGCCCTGCTGCAGATGTGGACATAGCCCAAGGGATGCAGAGAGGGCCTGCTGAGTGTGAGCAACGGGACCACATCTGTCCTAGATGTCATTTGGGATATGACACATTCTCACTGAGCCACCTAGAGATGGAGTTCCCAGGACTTCATTCAGGGAGCCGATCTGACATAGGGCCCCAGGAACAGTTAAGATTTCCCTGATTCTTGGATGTGCAGGACTTGTCCAGGGAAGCCCACCAGTGTCCTGACTGGTCCCCCAAGCACTAACTCTGCTCTCTGCTGGTTTTTGCCTCCTGTCTCTGCGTGTCCTGTTCTGCTCAGTATTTCTGGACTCAACCCTATTTTTCTCCTCGTTTCAGAAATTCCGGTTAGATATGCCTGGCTCAGGCAGTGCCTTCATCCCCACCATCAACGCCATCACGACCAGCCAGGACCTGCAGTGGATGGTGCAGCCCACTGTGATCACCTCCATGTCCAACCCGTACCCCCGCTCACACCCCTACAGCCCCCTGCCGGGCCTGGCCTCTGTCCCTGGGCACATGGCCCTCCCGAGACCTGGCGTGATCAAGACCATCGGCACCACCGTGGGTCGCAGGAGGAGAGATGAGCAGGTACAGCTCAGATCAGCATGAAAGGCCGCGTCGGTGGCCTTCCGGGCCTTGTGACAGTGTCTGTTTTCTGCAGTGATGGGGAGCAGGGTCGATGTTCTGGGATCACTGGGAAGAAGAGGGAACTAGGGGCCAGGAGCACATGACTTTCATCATAGAGGCAGAGCTGGGGACTAAGGGTCAGGTCTGGCTCTGTCATCTCACCCATGTCCCTTAGAATCTCTGAGTCTCAGTTTCTTCAGCTGCAGAATGGGGATTATGGTACCTGCCAGCCACAACTTGTCGCCACTCGAATGCCATCGGGCGTGGGAAAGCACATTGTAAGTGGTGAGGTGTCAGCAAATGGGAAGGACTGTTAGGACCTGCCCATAGCAGCGTCCTCTGATCCTTGGCACGGTGGCCACAGGACAAGCAGCCAGTGAACCTTGGCCAGGAGCTTTCTGGGACTAGCCCTTAACTGTCTTCCAGTATCTGTGCAGACAAGCCACCCAGCAGACCTAAAGGGTCACACTCTTGGCCGGTCCCGCCCACAGTACTTGACATTCCACCTCCGTGTCTAGGCCTTTAACTCGGAGCAGGAGCATTTTAATGCCTGGAGCGCATGCTCCAGAGTCCAGTGACGAGGGTCCTTGGAGCCTGCCTCCGCTGACCGGGGGTAAGGTGGGAGGTCAGACATCAGCCTTGTTTTCCTCCAGCTCTGAGGAATCGGCCTGGCTGGGAGGGACACCAGGAAATGGTGGGGCCCTGCTCTCTAGGTGCATCCTCCCAGCACTCAAAAGGCCGCTGTCTGCATCCACAGGGAGCCAGGGCAGCAGCAGGCCCCTGAACCAGAGAGACATCAGGATCGTGCATCATTCCAGAAAGGAGGGTATGAGCTGTCGGGGTGCCCCGTCTGTCCCCTTCACACAGACATACCTGCCTGAGGCCTCTCAGCCATGAGTGGCAAGTCTGGACTAGAACCCAGTGCCCGGGGCTCCCTGTGCAGAGCTCTTCGGCAGCACCATGCCACCAGGAGTCCCCCGAAGGGGAGAGACTGGAGCAGTAACACTTAATAAAGTGCTAACCTGGAGAACTCCAGTTACAGCGTCGGAAGCCCTCTGCGCTGGGACCCTCAGCTCCACCGTGTTCCGGTACCAGGACCTTTAAACATGGCCCTCAGTGGACAGTTGTGGCTCCAGTGCCAACAGTCCCCAGGGCATTTAGAATGACAAGGATCCCTCTCCAAAGAACTGGAAGCTTTTGCAGGGGCCTGTTCCTCTGAGGACAGAGTGGGGCCTTGTCTGCTGCAGGCTGGTTGGTTGTGTTAGCAGCAGGACCCATGCAGGGTGACACGGGGAGGCGTGTGTAGACCCAGCTCACAGCTGCTGTCGGGCTCCTGTGCTGGGACAAGCGGCCAGTTCCCCTCGCTGCTGCTTTCCAGACTAAATGTCCTTTGTAGTACGCTTCCTCCAGGGGGCCTCGGCTGCCAGGCCGCATGGTCCTGCCGAGTTGGATTGTCCCTGGATGTAAGTGACTCCCAAGGGACAGCCAGGCTTGCGAGAGGGTCCCTCAGGGCTAGGAGCACAGCAGAGCCGATGTGCTGAACACTTTGTTCTTCACGGGGCTTAGCTCCCATGAAATTCAGAAGTTTATACCTGGAAGGGATTTTGGAGACTCGCTTTTTAAATTTTTCCTCTGCGCCCATTTTACAGATTAGGAAATTTAGGTCCAGAAAGAAGAGCCCTGGCCAGGGTCGCACAGTGAGTTAGAAGCAGAGCCAGGACTGGAATCCACCTCCTCTGACCTCCAGCCCTGTGGTTTTCCCACTACACAGTCTAGGCAGGCCCGAAGACAGTCTGTCTGGAAAATTTCCTTCCTTTTTTGAGAGGGAGGGAGAAAGCCAGGAGCACTTCATTTCGTGTCATTGTCAGTGAGGAGTTCAGACAGTCATCCGGCAGCTTGGAGGAAGCCTGGGCGGTAGCATCCTCCAGCCTTGGCTCTTTGGTTCCTAGCCCGAGGGTCTCTTCCCTGAAGCTGACTTCTGCCTTCCTGACCTACCCCCAGGGGGGAGGGGCCTGGTGCCTCTGCCCTCAAGCCCGCCCCAGGCTCCCTCCCAGTCAATGGCAGTGGCTGAGGAGGCAGGGAGGGGAGGGTGTGTGTGGCCTGTGGGTGGCTACACAGTAGTGCTGACACACTCAAGCTGTAACCGTATTGATGTCACCACCCCGAGTACTTCCTATGCCCACAGCTCCCGCAGGTTGCCCGCCCCAGATCTCACCAGATAGGGGAGAGACTTCCAGGCCAATCGGGCCGCCTAAAAGTGGACCCTGACCAGCCTTCCATCCGTGGGGGGCAGGGCTACCTGGGCCTCAAGGGTAACCCTGAACCCAGAACTGCAGCAGGGCCGTCAGGCTCTCCTGGTAACTGTTGGGCTCAGGCTGCAACAGGTTTAGGAGCAGCAAGCAGACAGCTGACCCTCGCACAGAGCAGGTGTCCACGTCTGTGGGCTCGGGGTCTCCGGGCCACTTGAACTCTTTCAGGACTCAGAAGAAACACCGGAGAGGAGACCCCTGAATTGCGTCTGCTCCCCAGCACTTTTCAGTTTAGAGAGGGCTTGCGGCCTCTCCCCTCACTGTGGAAGGCAGGGCAGGTCTGGTAGCCCCATCTTATAAGTGGGAAACCTGAGGCCCAGAAGGCTCGGTGGTTTGTCCCAGGCCCCACAGAAATGCTGTTTGCGTGTTTTGCTTCCCGTCGGCCTGACACCTCTCAGAAGAGAGAATGTGGAGTCTTCGGCTCTCGGGGGGAAACAGGATTTCAGAGGATGGGATCGAGGCCAGGGCTTGAGGGAGGTGGGGCCAGGACTGGACGTGGGAGCAGGGCTTGGGGAGAGGCCTGGGAACTCCCAGGGATGTTACCTGCCCACCGCTCTGCATCCCTCCTGGAGGCCCCTGGGGGGGGGGGGGGGACAGTGAGGGAGGAGCTGGTGAGAAAGAAGCTGGACCTGGGTCTCCATGCCAGGAGGTGGGCGGCGGAGGAGGTGAAGGAGCTGGTCAGGACGTCCTGGGAGTGAGGTGGTCCCGGGCAGACAGATGGGTGGGCACACAGCCCAGCTGAGCCCTGGGAGGCAGGGACCCGACTACCAGGAGGCCCTGGAGGTCTCCCCAGCCTGCCGGGCTCCCTGCCTCCCTCTGGGCCTGGACCTTGACTGCTGGGGGAGGATGTGAAAGCTGAGAAGGTGTGATGAGCCAGTCTGTGCTCCAGCGGCCTCAGAAACTTCCCGCCCAGCAGTCGGCGGGAGCACTTTCGTGCCTGTGTGGAGAATTTGGATACAGGGCTCTGGCACTGTGGGGCCACAGGGTCACCGCAGCATAGACAAGGATGGGTTTGTCCTCTTTGGTGCTGTGCCTTGTTTTGCTCTTCCAGACATCACAGCAGCTGACATGCAGGGGTATCCCGGGGACTGGTTCCCTCCCTCACAGGGTGGCCTGGAGCATCCTCAGGGGGGCAGCTTCTCTCGTCCCCTCCAGAAGTGGCTTTGGCTTTCTTACCCAGATGTCTCTAGAGTCATATCCCCTCAGAATCTTCCCAGCCCCACCACTGTGCTCGGTGCATAAGGTGTGCCATCAGTGTCTGAAAACTGAGCGACGTGGTCTTTTGAGTTTCCCTCTGCCTTGGCCCACGGCCATCTCCTTGCGTCACCTCTGCCTGCAAGGGGCATCGGGTCATAGCCCTGGAAGGGCTGTGTCGGCACTGCTCAGTGGGGCAGAGTTCTTGCCCTGTGGCAGGAGTCACAGACCCCTAACCAGCCTCGTTGTCAGCAGCTGCCAGTGGTTCTCAACCTGGGGTCGAACGACCCTTTCACAGGGGTCGCCTAAGACATAACAGTATCAAAATCACAGTTACAAAGTAGCCAGGAAAATAATTTTACGGGTCGGTCAGCACAACATGAGGAACTGTATCAAAGGGCCGCGGCACTAGGAAGGTGGAGAACCACTGGTCGACGGTGAGCTCTGCAGGAAGCTTGCCCGTCTGGCTCTGATAAATCCCGAGCCCCTCTCGCGTGCCCGGCACATCGGTGCCCGTGTTGAGTGAGTGATGTGGTGGCAGCAGGAGTCACCGTGCACGGAGGGCTGTTCCTCCTCTTGCCCGTGCTGTCCAGCCTAGCTCTGTGCCAGGTACTGCTGGGTCCTCGGGGAAGAACTGTGAGCAGCTGGCACTGCAGGGCTGGCAGAGGCAGTCAGGAGCGGGGTGGCATCCTTGACCCCCCCCCCCCCCGCAACAGAATACCCCACCCCCTACCCCAGGTGGCTCTTACTCAAATGGGATAATGAGGCTTGCGGAGCAGGCAGAGCGATGGGAGGCATCATCGGCTCAGATTTGGAAGAAGCGGCTTAGTGGGTGGGGCCAGGCCTGGCTGGCCCAGGGGACTCTTGGAGGGAAGCAGTCCCAGCTCTGGCCTTGGCACCGAATTAGAGCTGACATTACAAATGCTGCTGCCATCATGCCTGGGCCGTGCATCCCTGACCCATCGCCCTGTTCTCCCTTCAAACATGGGACATCACCTCTGGGGGAGGGGCGGTTCAGCTCTGTGTCCTCCCAGGTGGCCAGACGGCAGTGAGCTGCATGTTCAGGGACCTCTGAGCCCCGCCGCCCTCCTCTTGCCTTCTCCCTCCCCAGCCCCACAAGGGCTTCCTACCCTCCTTAAAATGCAGTTAAAACAACGAAAGGCTGGCGAACCATTGACTGAACCTGATCATGACCCTCTCTCTACCTTGGCCTCTAGCTGTCCCCCGAAGAGGAGGAGAAGCGTCGAATCCGGAGGGAAAGGAACAAGCTGGCCGCTGCCAAGTGTCGGAACCGACGTCGCGAGCTGACAGAGAAGCTGCAGGCGGTGAGGAGCTCTGCGGGGGGTGGCGCTTCTGGTGGCTGAGGCCAGGCTCCCAGGGCCCCTGGCCCGCCCACCTCTCCTCGCCCACTGGTGGCCTGCAGATGAGGCCGTGGAAACACAGCCCTTCCTTTGTACACACGTTGGCCTGCTTAAAGAAAAGAGGCGTGGAGGGAGCTGTCCTTTGGACCAGCCTGGGCCCAGAGAGGAGAACTGGACCCCTCGTCGGGCCTAGTGCCCTTTGCCCTTTCTCACTCGGGGTCTGAGCGTTCCCTGCTCTCAGACCTGCTGGGGCTCCTGGGCGAGGGATGGCAGACGGTGTCAGCGTTGCCAGGCCCCGGGAGCCAAGGCAGGCCTAGACCTGCTGTCTCCAGGGCTGCTTCCCAAGTTTCCAGCCACCCCCATGCCTGCCGCCAGCAGGGGTGGCCCAGCCTAGTGGAAGTGACCTGGTTTGGGCAGGGGCACCTGCTGTCTGGGCTCCCCCACCTCTGCAGGGGTCTTCATGCCCCCTGGGTCTCATGGAGATGGGTCACATGTCGGCTGAGTTGTCCTATCTTGGGTCTTTCTCAAAACCTTCATGGGCAGGAGGGTTCTCTGTCTCTGCTGGGAGCCTGAAGCGTGGCCTTGGGTACCTCATTCTGCCCTCGTGAGTCACTCTCTCCTGTTGCCTGATTGCCCACACTTGGGGGTTCATGGCTCTGCCCGAACTCTACAGGAGGGGCTGTCGGCCGTGGAGAGGAAACCCAGAGCTAGGACTGACTCCGGGGTGCAATGTTTGCAGAGTGAGGCGATGAGGGAGACTGCTGGTAGTCCTCACAGTGACCAGCCAGTATGAGCCTTTGGAAATCACAAACTACCTTGCACACCCCATCACTTTATTTAATCCTCCCATGTACCATTCACCTGCTTCAGCTCCTGTTGTCCACCCTGGCACCCTCACTCTTGGGCATGCACACCGTGGGATCTCTGATGCCTGTGCTGGTTCCCATGGAGGAGTTGGTGACAGTCGGGAGGGCGAGTGGGAGTTCTCTGTCACCTGGTGGGGCGGATCTGTTAGCGGTCTGCACTCCGCGGGGAACCCCCCAGGAGAGCCCTCTTCACTGCCAGCCTTTCAAGGAACCAGGCCCTCTTGGCCTGCCCTGGGCACTCCTTACCCGCCCCGCAGCCTCACACCCCACTCCCCCGCCTCCCCCGCCAGCCCCCACCCAGCCCGCGAGCCACATCCTCTACAGGAAACCTCTCAGAGCGCATGACGTTCGTCAGACCCTTGAGACAGATGGAAACTTTTTTTCACTCCGGAATGTGCTGTACTCCTTTGGTGAAACTCTGGCCCCACATCATCTCATTCTTGAACGGGAACCTGCGTTAGGGGAAATGTGGGGAGGAAGCTGGTGACACACACCTCTTGTCCTCCGTGGGTACACCACCCCCTGCCCGGCAGCACGTGCTGCTTCTCTGGCTTTGTGTAAAAGGGGGAACGAGGTCCCTGCCGCGGGACCCTGCCATCCTCACCTGCCCAGGCTGCCACGTCCCTCCTCCGCTGAGCACCGGGACACCCTGCGGGTTCTCTGAGCCTGAAACACGTTCTTCTGCAGTCAGAGCGAGAAAGGGAAGAGGGGCTGTGATGGTCTGACCAGGATCCATTGACTACTTACCACAAGCCAGGCAGTGTCCTGGGCTCGTGGGTCCAGACAGTCTCCACTGTCACACAGTTTGCAGTGGAGTGAGGGCTGTGGACTCCGGAGTCAGATGCACTGGGGTCAGATCTGGGCCCCTTCCCCGTTGGCTCTGTGGCTCTGGGCACATTCTACAGCTCTCCTCTCTGAACTGTTTCCTTACCTGCAGAATGGGTTGATGATAACACCTGCTTCAAAACACTAGGGGTTTCATGAGCTAAGTCTGTGAAGTGCCCAGCCAGCGCCTGGCACAAAGGAAGCACTGGGTCGTGGCTGTGCAGTTGTTACGCCTCCCTCCCACCTTGCCTGCTTTCTCAGTCTGAGCTGTGGAAGTGAAGGGGACCTGGAGCCTCCTGGTGACTCACCCCGGCGGGTCTGTGGCCAGGTGTGAGCTGGCTGCTTACCAGTCAGTCCTCTGAGGACAGGGCTGGGTTTCCCTTTCTTGCCTGGATTTAACCCCCCCCCCCCCCCAGCAGGTCCCTGGCAGGCCGCTGTCCCTTACGTGCCTCTCTTTGTCCTGTAGGAGACAGAGGAACTGGAGGAGGAGAAGTCGGGCCTGCAGAAGGAGATCGCTGAGCTGCAGAAGGAGAAGGAGAAGCTGGAGTTCATGTTGGTGGCCCATGGGCCCGTGTGCAAGATCAGCCCCGAGGAGCGCCGGTCGCCCCCGGCCTCGGGCCTGCAGCCCCTGCGCAGCGGGGGCGGCGGGGTGGGCGCCGTGGTGGTGAAACAGGAGCCCCTGGAGGAGGACAGCCCTTCGTCCTCGGCGGCGGGTCTGGACAAGGCCCAGCGCTCTGTCATCAAGCCCATCAGCATTGCTGGGGGCTTCTATGGGGAGGAGCCCCTGCACACCCCCATTGTGGTGACCTCCACGCCTGCCATCACTCCGGGCACCTCGAACCTCGTCTTCACCTATCCCAGCGTCCTGGAGCAGGAGTCGCCCGCGTCGCCCTCCGAGTCCTGCTCCAAGGCTCACCGCAGGAGCAGTAGCAGTGGGGACCAGTCATCAGACTCCTTGAACTCCCCCACCCTGCTGGCTCTGTAACCCGGCTGCCGGGGTTCCTCATCACTGCCTCCTTCCCAGGGACCAGCACCTTCCCGCGCTCCAGGGTGCGAGGACCCAGGGGATTCTGCCAGGGCCTCCTGGCCCTGGGGGGACCCGGGTGGCGTTTAGCAGAGGCCCTGGAGGACTGGGATGAGCTCTTAGAAATCGTGAAACCTCCTTCCTCGTCCGTCTTGCAAAGCAAATCCTGTTTCTTGAATGGCCTTGGAGAACTTCGTTTCACGGACCTGGGCAGCCCTGGGCAGGCCTCTGGCTTCTCAAGAGCCCGAAGCTGGTGTGGACCATGTCTGTCCCTTTGTTATGAAATGTCTCTGGAGTGATAGTGTCCCGCCCTGCCCCACCACGCATGCTCGGTGCCGTTTGGTTTCATCGTCCCTCTATTCGACCTGTCCATCCCCAGTGTCAATTTCACTTCCTCTTGGTTTTTATCAAATTTGCCATGACATTTCATCGGGGTGGTCTGACTATTAAAACTCTTCATGTCTGGACATGGGCAGCAGGTGGCCCTTCTGCGGGGGCTGACTTGTCCAGAGGGGACAGTCGATGTGCAATACAGAACCTCCCTCCCCTGACACTCCCTGGTCCACTGCTGGCTCCAGAAGCACCGGGGGAGCTCGAGCTCTGGAGGAGACGCTGCCGCCGGAGGCTCCGAGGACCCTGCCTCCCCGCTGCAGAGATGGCTCCTGGAGCAGTGGCTTGGCCAGAAGACAGGGCGTGAGTGAGACAGCCGGGCACAGGTTGTGTTTGCCAAACGCCTAATTAACAGGCCAGGAACAGTGCCAACGAGCCACGGTGTCCCAGCCGGCTTCCCTTCACCTGGTGTCGAGCAGGACGTCTCCTGTAATTACTGCCTCACCACTCTGCTCCTGGACCCTTCTCCAAACCCAGGAGCTGTCCCTCCCTCTGAACCACACACCACTCCAGGCCTGCTGGCTCCGCCCTCCCCGCCCTGGCTCTCAGGGTGACGCCACCCACAGAGATTTAATGAGCTTGGGCCCGGACCCTCCCATCGCTGCCAGGTGGCCCTCCCCAGCTTCAAAGGCAGCTTTGCTGCGTGTGGATGGGAAGACAGGGAGGAGGGAGGCCGTGCAGTGAGATTCACCTCACACCAGCCCTGCTACCTGGCTGGCCTTGTCCCAGCTGCTCACCTCTCTGAAGTGCCCATTGTCATCTGATGGATCGAGTGCTTTCTCTTTATACTCCCCAACCTCCTCGCCCCAGTGTGCTCTTCGGGTCCACCAGCCAGCCCAGAGCTGTGGCTGTGGCCTGCGGCTTGTGCACCATCCTGGGGGCTGCTGGAGAGCTGTTTCCCTCCCACAGGTGGACGGTGGGGAAGGGCCCCTCCTGGCCCCAAAGAGCATAGCTCGGCGTAGCTCAGCGTGGCCCCTGCCCCCTAACACTCTGAGCCTTTTTCTCCGCAAGGCTTGTCTCTGATCTAGAATTGGCCTCTGCTGGGCTAGTGGTCTGGGGGAGACCTGCTGTTATAATCAGTCCTAGAGATTATTGTGTGGTCACTTAAAACTACACCACTGTGGTGTAAGTCACACCCAGAGGGTAAAGGAGAGCGGTGATGCTTAAAGCTCACCTGTTCCTTGCACACACCTGGGCCTCGGTGCTGGTCATTGTTGAATGTCTGTTACCTGCAGACACAGCATAGGATGACGTATGCTTAAAATACATGGCCCACTAGGACTGGAAGTGACGTGTGGAAGGAGAGGAGAATAAAAGAAGAAGAATTTTGTCCAAAAGTACTTTAAACATGTTTGTTTCAACATTCCTTGGCTGGGAGGCTGCCCTCCGGTTTTCCAGAGGTTCTGGGAGAGGTGTGCCTGGTAAGAAGGGGCAGCTGGGTTTCCGACTTCGGAGCAGTCCAGGCAGAGGTCGGCCCCGAGTAGCCGGGGACGGGCAAGAGAGCGGGTGCTCCCCGCTCTGAAGGGCTTCGTCCTCTCAAGTGGTGGTTGTGGCCGAGTGGGAATGTGTTGCTTCTCTTGCTCTCTTACGTGAAGCTGCTTTCTGGTGTTTCATTTCTAAAAGTCCCTTTATGCCCTAGTTTGCACAGCACTGACCCCAAGGCAGGTCACCCTTTGTGACTTGGGGCCAAGCTGGACATTCCTGAGATGAAGTTTGGCTTCAGTTCAGATTTCAAGCTATGTTGGCTTTGGGGCCAGCAGAAGGCAAAGCCCAGCCACCTCCCAGGACGTGAGAGGCCCCCAAGCTGCATTCAGGACCCTCTGGCTTTGTTCTAGGAGTAGTTGGGAGGTTTGAGGAAGGCCGACTGTTACTCCTAAGGCGGTAGCACAGCCTCAGTTACTCCCTCTGGCTTGTTCTCCAAGTTTGCTCCAGAATCACCAGACACTGGCCTGCTTCCTCCTCCGGCTCCGGCTGAGGGAACAGCTGCAATGGGGCTTCGCACTGGGCTGGGAGCCTGTGCTTCCCCTGCGTCCCGGCCGCGAGGCGCTGGCGTGGACGCCAGCTGGGCTGCAGGCAGTTCAGGGACAGCGCAGGGCAAGCACTCCCTGACAAGCTAGTGTGAAACAGTCTCCTTGGCCACCTGGCTGGCCCTCTGGGAACAGCCCTCTTCCTGGCTGGGTGGATGGGGACAGCTGCTGACACAGGAAGGAGAGGAGGTCCCAGGTGAAGCTTAGGAAGTGGCCAGAGCCAGCTCTCCGCAGAGAAGTCACTGGGGAGGTGTTCAGAAAGCAAGCCTTGTTCTGCCTGTGCGAAAGGCCAGGTGTGTCCACTGTGGCCAGTCACGTGGCGTCTCACAGCCAAGGGCCATCAGAGGCTGCTGCTTCCCTGGCTCAGCTGCGGGGAAAGGAGCTGTCTCTGCTCCCACGCGGCTCCAAGGGTAAGGTGGGCTCCACTCCACACCGGGACTTCCCTACCCCGTCCTTGCTGGGCCAGCGGCGCTCCTCGCGATCTCGCTGTTCAGCTTGCAGGTTGATTTCCTTCCTGGTCAGATATCTGTGTGGCCCCTTTAAGAAGGAAAAGAGTAAGCACCTACTATGTGCCAGGCACTGTGTTAGGCACTTTTATATATGCCCTCTTCAGGGTGAGACTAAGGAATGAGGGCATGCCTGATTTGAGGCCCCCGAGAAGCGGATAAACAAAAACTTGGAGGTGAGAGGTCTTTTTAAAAATCCAAGGCAAGAGTGTCTTCAGTCTGAGGTTTATTCCCAAAGACTCGCCCCCTACGATAATATCTTCCCACCTCTAAGTTTCTCTTCTCTCTACCCGGTGATGTGCTCCTTGGCACTCCTCAGGGCTGGAGGGGTAACCTTACAGAATTTGTGGACCAATAGGATATGTATAACTTGCTTTAAAAAATGTAAGTAAAGGGGATCTTGCTACTTTCTGCTTGTTGAGTCTTTCTGGCATTCATCTTAAAAGCCAGCATCTCACTATTTATTTACAGGTTGGGGTGTATGTGTGCGTGTGTGTGTATGTGTGTGTGTATGTGTGTGCGCGCGTTTCCAGGGGTACCCATGACCTCCTGCAGCTTTTATAAAGGAAACCCAGTCATCCCACCACTAATCTGACATCGTCTCAGGCTTCTCGTGTTTTGGCTGAACATCAACAAAAGGGTTTAAATTTTCCAGCACTGACAGGTTCAGGAGGGGCTGGGTCAAATTTTGAGGAGGGTATGGGAAGGGGAGGGGGAGGCAAAATGGACATTTATTTTATTATTTATTTTAAATGTTTACATCTTTGTGTTGTACCAAGCCTGAATAGAAACAGATAGCATTAAAGTACTCAGTTCCTCTCTCCCTCTTCCTCCCCTCTTTTTTAAAAAATTAGGCGAACGATGCTTTTGTTTGTTTGTTTCTAAAATGATGTGTGACCTGTGCTGTATAAACTATGAAACGGTTCTGTTCTTAAAGATGGACAGTCATTCTCTGGCAGCATGTTCCCAAGAAGCCCACCGTGTGAGAACACGACAGATCCCGCCCTGTCCTTAAAGCTCTTCTCTCTGAATGATTAAAAGTTTATTCCAGTTCTTTCAGTCTGTGGTTACTTGATGTCAAGGAAGAAAACATTTACCTTTGTATAAAGAGTAGGTATCAAGGTGTCTTTTTTGCAGTGGGAGATGTATATATATATATCGTCTTTTGGTATATAGTGGACAATGATGAGCTTTGTGTGTCTGTATTGGAGAGACGTCAATGACGTGGGTCGAGTCTGCTATAGGGTCCCAGAGGCAAACCACCTGTACAAGATTCCTGTGCTGTGGGGGATTGAATTACCTTCCTGAGCATCTTTTTTTTCTTTTTTAAGTACTGGTGAAATGGTCCTATAGAAAAGGCTTCTAAATAGGCCTCTCTAGGCAGGACCGTGAGCTCAAAAATCTTTGTATAGTTTTGAAAATTGAGGAGTATCTCAAGCATCTCTGGTGGTGTTTTTGTTGTTTCGTTTTGTTACCTTACTGTAATACAAGCCTACAGTATTTGCACTAAAGAAAGCTTGTTAGAAAAGCTTGCTGCTACGGAAGAGAACATACTGAGACGGTTTTTTTCTTTGCTTTTTTTTTTTTTTTTTTTGGTTAGATTTTCCACTTTCAATTGAGTAGAATTTTGTAGAATAAAATGAATTAAGATTGAAGAGCCTCTTACGGTTGGTTTATTCCACCTTCTCGTGTCCCCTGTCACTTGTCTTTCCTTCTAGTCTTTCCTGCCTGTGGCTTTGTGGGTGGAACGGGGTCTCTGGTGGGTGAGGGAATTAGGGGATGGTTTTCCTGAAACCCCTTTCTGCAAAACCCGGGAGGTGGGCTACCGGGAGGGGCTTGCAGCTCCCCACCTTCTTTCTCCTGCTGCTGTGTCCTCGTGACCCTCCCAGCCGGTGCCTGCTTCTCAGCGAGCGGCCAGCTGCCACCAGGTGCAAGCCAATCGAAGTCCAAGGTGCTGGCCCTTCTGGGGACATTTGTTCGAAACCCAGGAATCTTCAAAGAACCAGCTGAAGGTGTCGCTCAGGGTCCGGTGGTCAGATGAGCTCACACGGGAAGGGCCCCTGAGCAGCCCCCCCTTCCCCGCAGACACAGGTTGGTAGGTGTGGAACACGCAGTCTATCAGCCAGACCCTGTTGTCCTGTCGACCGGGAGACCGGCCCGGGGGGTGGGGCGTGTTGCTCTGCACACCTGGCCTTACCTAATGCTCCTAGTGGTCGCAGCTGGCGTGACAGCACCTGTTGCCGATCCGCTCAGACAAGCTCGCGTGCAGGCCTCAGCCTCTGGGGGACCCGAGAGCACTGGGCGGTGAGTCAGGGGCCCTGGCTCCTAGGGCTGCCCACAGGCTCACGGGTTGTGGAACCTCTGTGAGCTTTGTTCTCTCGGCTATAAAGGGGAAGGGGACCATGGATGTGTGAGCACCCACATCAGAAGGGTGACACTAGCTCCTTTCCCTTGGAGAGGGGCTGGGGCGCCAGAGGAGGGGCACTCAGCAGGCTCAGCCCGGCCTCCTGGGGCCCTCTTCGCCTGAGCAGCCCACACAGAGTCTGGGCGCCTCGGTGCCCTTGCTCTCCTGAGCGACACGTGTCTCCGCGGTGCCGCGTCTGTGAGGCAGGCGCTGTTGTTGTCATCGGCCTCCGGGGCTGGGGGAGATGCGGTCGGAGGAGACTGTGTCTGTGCTCGCCTCTCATGCCCAGGCGCTTTCCCAGCCTCGTCCAGTAGCCCCCGAGGTTGTCTGTGGAAAGCCCGCCTCCCCCCGTGGTGACCAGAGGCCGGAGGTCACCAGGCACACACTGAGGCGCCAGCCGTCCTGGTCTGCGCAGTGGGCGGTGAGAAAAACACCCAGGGCCACTCCGGTGGGTTCCCAAACCTAGCCGGGTTTGTGGGGGATCTTGCAGTCTCACCTCTCAGTCTGGGTTATCTTGGTCCAAACTCGTTCAGGGACCTGGGTTGGTGGCAAACTACTGATTACGTTTCCAACGAAGCTGCAGTTTCAGGGATTAAGCAGAGTCCACTCCCTCGGGGAAGAGGTCTTGGGAAGGGAGTCCTAGGACTCCCCCTTTTTGCTGGACCCAGGGTTCCCCAAGTGAGCCCGGCGCTGTCACCAGGTCACCAGGTCACCAGGCTGACTGTTCATTGGATGCCGGCCCATAAGGGAAAAGGGAATTTCTTCGGGGGCCGGTGTTTTCCAAGACTTTCAGCAACATTTGTCTCTTGGGCGACTGAGTGAGACGATGCATGTGAAGACATGGGTAAGGTACTGAAAAAACATGAGGAGGAAGCGTAAGTGGTTAAACCCCACGGACCTTGGTTATAAAGTTGACGGATGCGACTTGATTATAGTACAGCCACTGGGCTCCGGGCTCCAGAGCCACATTTGAAATGGTAGGGTGTGATTGCCCTTTGGGCCCCGTGTGTTTAAAGGATACGTGGGGAACTTGGACGTGGGCAGCCCAGGCCCACACGCAGCAGGCCCCTGGGGAGGGCTGGGGGCCTCCACGCCAGGTCGGCCGCGCACGGATCTGGGATCTGGACGCTGCTTTCACACCTGTCCTTGCTCTCGCTGACAGCCTGTTCCTCCCCTGACAAGACAACAAAAGGACTGCTCCCTGAGAAGCCGTGAGCTGTTGGGACAAGTCCACTCACCCTCCCTTCCATGCAGCCGGCTCGGCCTCTGCAGAATGTGCCTGGGTGCAGGGAGCCTGCCCCCGACTCTGCCCGTGGGCAGGCTCCTCCTCCCCCTCTCCGCTGGGCTGCTGCACAGACGCCCCAGAGAAGATACGGGGCTCTGTCCACAGTCTGCAAGCTGTCTCTGGAAAGTTCCACTTGTTTTAAGGGAAAACAATAAAACCCTGCTTCAGGCTCCACGCCTGGAATAAGAAAACACGTAATCGAACGAAACACCTTCCCGAGGGCTTGTGGCAGCCACTGGAGAAACAAACCCAGGTCCAAATGCGCCGTGTGTTTGGCCCAGTCTCAGGGGTGCTCAGCGGTCTGAGGACACTGGGAGAACATGGCCCTGTGTACAGGGGGCCCCAGTCCTATCTGAAGAGGAAGTTTGGGGTGCTGTGGGACCCTACATCAGAGCTCTGCTGGAAACTAGCTCTGCCTTGTCCTGTAGGGCATTCAGAAAGGGCTCAGTGATATTTAGGTGATAGGTAATTTTTTTTCATTGGGGTGAAATTCACATAACATAAAAGTAACCATTTTAGAGTGAAAATTTTCGTGACATGGAGTGCTCTAGTCACAATGTTGTACAACCACCTTCTCGATCTAGTTCCAAAACCCGTTCACCAGCCCAGAAGGAAACCCTGACCCATGAGCAGTCACTCCCCATCCCCTCCCCCGACAAGCGCCTGGCCACCACCACCCCTCTTTCTGTCTCTGTGGATGTATACCGAGGTCGTGTTTTGAGGATCCCAATGACTATTTTTCTGAACTAAATACAACCGTGAAACATTAGCGTGGAAAACAAACGAATGGCCATGAGCCGCAGTACAGTTCGCTCCTTCCTTCGGCGCTCCCTAGACTTCCGCCCTCACGTCGGGGTGCCCTGCAGACGCCTGGGAGGCAGGCGCTGCTGACCGAGTTGGCAGTGACCAGCTCCGGGAGGGACTCCTCTTCGCTCACGCAGAGGCACGGCTGCGACACAGGCAGAGACGGTCACCACCTCGGCCCGCTGCACGAGGCCTGCATTTGCTTCTCAGATACAGATGGGATAGTCGTGAGGAGGCATGATCGATGAAAACAGACACCCTTGTCACGTTGTCAACATAGGAGAACCACATTTAAATTAACGTTTAAAATGCACGTGTAGACGGAGACCGCCACCACCATATTCTTATGGGTCTGAGGGGGAAAATATTCATTCAAAGATATTTTGTGTCCCTACCAACCACATGGCACCACGAAAGCTCCTCTGGGAACACAGCTGCATGTTATCCAAGGCGTCTCCGCGTCCCAGTCAGACGGCTCCATTCGAAGCACATCCGGTCCACCCAGAAGCCCCTCGGGGGCTCCTCTGATAGGGCTGGGAGGACAGGCGTGTGCGTGGGGGGCATTGTGTGGTCCGGCCTGTGGCAAGTGGGGGATTTGGGAGGAGACTCCACGGTGGGAGGGGCCCTGGGCTGCAAACCACGCGGATGGCTGTGCAAGCCAGTGGAGGGAACGTGCCCGGCAGAGGGAACAGTCTGCAAAGACCTGGTGGGGAGCCCTGGCTGGTTTGGCTCAGCGGTTAGAGCGTCGGCCTGCGGTCCGGAGAGACCCGGGTTCGGTTCCCGCTAAGGGCATGTACCTCGGTTGCAGTTTGTCCCCGGCCCTGGTTGGTTGTGCGGGTGGCAGCCACTCGATGTGTCCCTTCACACCGATGTTTCTCTCTCTCTCTCTCTCTCTCTCCCTCCCACTCTATCTGAACAAAAAATGGAAAAATGTCCTCGGGTGAGGATAAAAAAAAAAAGACCTGGTGGGGAAAGAAAGTGTGGGGCAGCTTGGGGCCCGGGAAGGAGTCCCCAGTATCTGGAGCTTGGGCTGATTTTCGGGAGGATGGAAATGTAACCTGAGATTTGGGGGCCCTTAATGACAGGCTTGAATCTTTCCATCATCTGGTCAATCAGCCCAACATACTGCTTGTTTATGCCAGGCCCTGTCCTGCCTGCTGGGGAGATGGAGGCAATAAAGACACACACACACACACACACACACACACACACACACACCCGCCATTGGCCAGTGGGGCTAGGGCCAAGTAATTACCAGTGCACTGAGTCTCTCAAAGATATATAAGGTGTTGTGGACAAAAAAGGGGGTTCTATGGAAAGAAACCTCACAGTGGGATTTAATCACAAAGTCATAACTGAGCCGGTCATGGTAGGCAGGCATTTAACTTTTCAGTTAAAGGTTTAGTTTTACCTTAAGCCAGCCCTGTCCATTGTTCCTGTGCATCTAGACTAACGCATCCTTGAAATACCAGAAGGAATACCCTCAAAGGGGCTGTTGGCCCTCAAGAGAGCACATGCTCTTGTTAACTCTCTGATACCCCTGCCTTGCTGTCTCCCACCT